ACTGATTAATTACCAAACTAACTTTTGTTTGCATTTTCTAATACTCACCAGAAGTTACTGATACTGTCTCAGGAACTATTTGGATGGTGAAATTAATGCTGGAACTGTTAATAGCATCTCTTAAAGCTTCAACAATAGTAATATTAGCTGGGACTTGTGCATTGGGAATTGTTTGATTGAACACAAGCTCCACCAATGCCTCAGTTCTATCCACTCGTTTTTGGACTATAACAGATCTGTGTCATGAAAGAGAGTGAGGCAGATGTTACATGTCACTTTTAACATTCAAAATAAAATTTAATTAATAAGTGTGTGAAAAATAACCAATGTTAAAAAACATCTACCTGAACCCAATCACAATGGCATGGATGAAGTAAAAAAATTTTGCTCCGTATATTCTATCACACTGCAAAAAAATAAACACAAAAAGAAAATTTAAACCAGGTGAAACAACTTCAAAATTACATTATCTAAAAACCCTTATTTAAAATACATCATTTGAAATACATCTGTCTTTTGCTCCTAGATTTGTTCTCTAGATACTGTTTCAGTCAATATGTAATTTGTATTAAGTTCAAATATTACTCACCGTCTCTTCAACTCGTTTTTTGCGATCTTGATATGCACTGCTGGTGGGGTCTGCGAGATCAGGTACATATGGTTCAAGGAACTGTAGAAAGAGAACAATTTGGACAGGTCCAGTTGGTGCTTTTGTAGTTGGGATAGTGGTTGGAGTTGCTGCAACTGTTGTTGTAGTTGCAGTTGTTTCTGGTAGAGTGGCTGTTGTTGGAGCAGTGTCACTGATGTTGATGGAGGCCCTTTCGATGTCAAAGCCGTTCACATTTGAGGCTTGCCCGATCAAAACATTCCTAATCTCAGTGTCATTTGGGACAGAAAAGTTTACAAACTGAAGTTCCATGGTGTTTATGACTGATCCCTTCCTGCAAATGCAGAAACACAAGTTATTGTTTTGCATATTAGCTTTTTAGGTCAATGCCCTACATGATATGTCAAAATGTGGAAATTACCTGAAGCTCACCACTTTCAAGGAGACAAAAGAAGAGAGGAAAGCCTCAATGTAAGCAGGTTCAATCTACACACACAAAAGAGATTTTCTTAAAACTATTTTTTCTGTTGTTTTTTTTAAAATATTTGACATAGTATGAACATTATAGACATCTCCTTGTGTGTGGAAAGTTCATCCCTTTGAATGAAGAATAACAAAAAAGAAATTATATTGAACTGAAGTGCTCTGTAGGGATTGAAACAGACTGATGTGTTAGGATTACGGTCATGGTAGAGGTGCTTATGTAGTTAAACAAAAAAACTTAACATGAAAATATTGTTGGAAAAGGGCATTAACCTA